TCATTTATTTTTCTGGAGTTGAGCTGGAGGAGTTGCTTGTATATTTTTGAGATTAATCCTTTGTCTGTTGCTTCGTTTGCTATTATTTTCTCCCATTCTGAGGGCTGTCTTTTCACCTTGCTTAGAGTTTCCTTTGTTGTGCAAAAGCTTTTAAGTTTCATTAGGTCCCATTTGTTTATTTTTGCTTTTATTTCTAAAATTCTGGGATGTGGGTCATAGAGGATCCTGCTGTGATTTATGTCGGAGAGTGTTTTGCCTATGTTCTCCTCTAGGAGTTTTATAGTTTCTGGTCTTACATTTAGATCTTTAATCCATTTTGAGTTTATTTTTGTGTATGGTGTTAGAAAGTGTTCTAGTTTCATTCTTTTACAGGTGGTTGACCAGTTTTCCCAGCACCACTTGTTAAAGAGGTTGTCTTTTTTCCATTGTATATCCTTGCCTCCTTTGTCAAAGATAAGGTGACCATAGGTTCGTGGATTTATCTCTGGGCTTTCTATTCTGTTCCATTGATCTATATTTCTGTCTTTGTGCCAGTACCATACTGTCTTGATGACTGTGGCTTTGTAGTATAGTCTGAAGTCAGGCAGATTGATTCCTCCAGTTCCATTCTTCTTTCTCAGGATTACTTTCGCTATTCGAGGTTTTTTGTATTTCCATACAAATTGTGAAATTATTCGTTCTAGTTCTGTGAAAAATACCGTTGGTAGTTTGATAGGGATTGCATTGAATCTATAGATTGCTTTGGGTAGTATAGCCATTTTGATAATATTGATTCTTCCAATCCATGAACACGGTATATTTCTCCATCTGTTTGTGTCTTCTTTGATTTCTTTCATCAGTGTTTTATAGTTTTCTATGCATAGGTCTTTTGTTTCTTTAGGTAGATATACTCCTAAGTATTTTATTCTTTTTGTTGCAATGGTGAATGGTATTGTTTCCTTAATTTCTCTTTCTGTTTTCTCATTGTTAGTGTATAGGAATGCAAGAGATTTTTGTGTGTTAATTTTATATCCTGCAACTTTACTGTATTCGTTGATTAGCTCTAGTAATTTTCTGGTAGAGTCTTTAGGGTTTTCTATGTAGCGGATCATGTCATCTGCAAACAGCGAGAGTTTCACTTCTTCTTTTCCTATCTGGATTCCTTTTACTTCTTTTTCTTCAGGCAGATTCTTTACCACTAAGCCACCAGGGACACTTTACCTAGATTCAATAATTATGTACAGTTTGCCCTATTTGTTTGGTCATATTTTATATACCTTTATATGCGTAGTTTTTCCCTGAGTCATTTGAGGGTGAATTGGAAACATCATGCCTCTAGGATCTCTAAATACTCCAGTGGGAATTTCCTAAGAATAGTGGCATTCTCTTTCATAGTGAAAATGAGAAATCTTAATGTTAATATGATTCTATTATCGAAACCGTAGTCCATATTTCAGATTTTGTCAGTTAACCCAATAATGTTTTTTATATTTTTTCTCCCCATTTTAGGATCAGATCCAAAATTATGCATTACTTTTCATTATTTCTCCTTAGTCTCCTTTGAATTACAACAGTTCTGTAGCTTTTCTCTGATTTTCCTGACTTTGACACTTTTGAAGCAAAGGATATAGTTATTTCATAGATCTTTAATTCAAGGTTATCTGATGCTGCTTGTGATTAGATTTAGGTTGTTCATTAACTTTACAGGAATAAATCACAAGCTATTCTTTCACAGTTCAGCATATCTGGAGGTGTATAGTGTTGATTTGTTCCAGTATTGGTATGTCTGTATGTATGTATTTATTCATCCATATTCATTCATTATCTTCAGTGCATTTACTCCTTTTCTCAACTTTCTCAAGAAAGTGCTTTCAGAATTGCTAACCCATTATATTAGATAAGTAAACCTACTAACTGTAGTTAATTTGCAGTTCTTTAAAGGTAAAACTTAATTATGAGAAAATGCATAAGAACAATTGGATGAGTCTTGACAAATATACCCATATTCACATGTATATCAAGATTAAGAAAATTTCCTTAACCCTAGAAATTTTCCTGGTGCCCTTTTCTTATTAATAATGTTTTCCACCACTCACAGCTGCTTTCTTGATTTTTTCCCCCCTGTTAAAAATTAGTTTAGCCTATTTTAGAACTCTGTAGAAATGGAATCATACAGTATGTGCTTTTTTGTGTCTAGTTTCTTTTGTTGGCATAATATCTGTGGTTTTCATTCACATTGTTTTGTTATTAGTAGTTTATTCTTTTTATAGCTGAGTTGTATACAACTGTATGAAACCATCATAGTTTGTTTATCCAGTCTACTGTGATAGACATTTGGGTGCTTTTCAGTTTATGGGTATCGTAAATAAAGCTGCTGTGAACATGAAGTACAAGTTTGTGTATTTTCATTTCTCTTGAGTAAATGCTTATGAGTGGAACTGATTTGCATTGGATAAATGTATGTTTATCTTGTAAAAATAAAATTGTCAAATTTGTTCCATGGCAATTGTATCATTTCATGACTTCATGACTGATTATGAGATTTCTGGTTGCTCCACATCCTCACCACAGCATCTGGTGTTATTAGCCGTTTAAGTGTTAGCTATTTTAGTGAGTGATATCTCATTATTGGCTTTAATTTGCGTTTCTCTCAGTCCTAATGATGTTGAGTACATTTCCCACTATGCTTATTGACCGTTCATATAACTTTCTTCGTGAAGGGGCTGTTCAACTCTCTTTTCCTGTTTTTAAAAATTGTGTTTTCCTTTATTAATAAGCTATAGGAGTTGTTTATATTTTGTGGTACAAATTGTAAGATGTTTGTATTGTGAATATGTTCTCCCATTTTGTAGCTTGCTTATTGATTTAATGTCTTCTAGACATATTAAGGTTTTAATTTTTATGAATTCATAGTTACTAATGTTTTCCTATCATGGTTACTACTTTTTATAAAATTTATTTTATTTTAGTTTTGGCTGCACTAGCTCTTCATTGCTGCGTCTGGGCTTTCAGCTGTGGCAAGCAGGGGCTATTCGTTGTGGTGTGTGGGCTTCCTTTTGCCATGGCTGCTTCTGTCACAGAGGACAGGCTGTAGGTGCGCAGGCTCTGCAGGTGTGGTTCACGGGCTCTAGAACGCGGGTTCAGTAGTTGCGGTGCTTGCACTTAGTTGCCTTGCTTCCTGTGGAATCTTCCCAGATCAGGGATCCAGCCAGGGTCCCCTGCACTGGCTGGTGGATTCCTAAGCACTGGACCACCAGGGAAGTCTGGTTATGACTTTGTTTTATCCCAAGAAAGTTTTGCCTGTCCTCAGTTCACAAAAGTATTCTCTTGTGATTTCCTTTATAAACTTTATCAGTTTATATTTTACATCTAGGTTTATTTTCCGTCACAGATTAGTTTTGGTGGATTGTGTGATGTGTCATAAGTAGGGATTAGAACTTAATGTTTATTGTTTTTCTCTTTTTGCAGATTCACATTTTTTTTTTTCAGATTCACATTTCTAAGTGTCTTTTTTAAGCCAAGAGAAAATTTTATGATTGTAATATACTCTAATTTGATTTATTATATTTTTGGGAAAGCTGAGTATTCAACACTTCCTTAGTACAGAAATGTGTAAATTTAAAGACTATATAAACAAATGAAGATGAGATCATTATTTTATGATAATGGAAATAACTAGAACATTTTAATATGTTTCAAAGAATAGGTATGTTACTGACTTTACTGTTTAGCAATAATAAGAAAGAGACTTAGTTAAGAACTGTTTTTTCATTGTACTTATTCTACAAATGGATGGTTTTTTAGTTTTCCACATGAAATCATCATTTTTTATGCAGCTTGCAAAGTGATCTGATTGCCATGTTTTATCTCTTTTATTGATGGTCTTAAGTCTGTCAGGCTTTCCATTTGAAACCCCTGTTTTCAGGAGTTTATGAGCTGACAGTTGAAAAAAAAATTAACCAGCAAAAAACTTGGCATTCATGATCTTGGTTCAATATAAGGTACTTTGCTTTAATAAAATTTTAAGTAGTCAGCTCTCTTTTTTTTTTGTTTGTTTGTTTTTTGTTTTTTTAGGTTGCAAATGGCACAAAGAGGAATAAAGGAATTTTTTTGGTTAAATAGATATGGAATATTTTTCCAGACAACTTATCCCAATTAGATTTATAAAGCAAACTTTTCCCTTTTAGAAATCATTTAAGTATGTACTTTCCTGTGTTCCAGTTCCCACAAGATGTTGCCTTAAGATTTTCCTTTTCCTTTGCTTGTTCATAGCAAGTATCCACTATCCCTTTTCTTTTTTTCTGTACACTTGTGCTTTTAAAATTCTCCCTAGTATGTTTACTTTAAAAATGGCTTTATATTTTGGCATTCTTTTGTCCTTTTCCCCTCATCTTTGTAGTGCCTCTTGCACAAAACTTTACCTATTGGTTGTAAAACAGTATTAACTTGGAGAGAAGTGGTGTAAATAGCAAGAATTTTCTTGAAATGCCAACTTTAAAACCTATTCTGAAGAGCTGTCACTTAGAGAGCCGGCTTTTAGGCAAGTTTTTTCTTCTTCTTCTGGAAAGTGGGCAAGTCAGCTTGAGTACTTTCACAATCTGTTTTTAACCCAATATCATTCACATAGTGAACACTTAACTGCTATTGGTCCCTAAAGGTGTCTGTGGGGGATTTTTTGTCGCTTTTATTTCACTTCTCATTTTTTTTAAAAAACCATTTCCTGAAAACTCAGTGCAGAAATGTAGCCTACTGCAGGAAGTGAGATGGTCTTCTTTTGCTGTATTCTGAAGATAATTTGCTTCAGACAGGAGATTTTTGGGTGTTTGCTGAAATTTTGGAGATCTGGGAAAATGGGGGTAATAACATGACACCAGTTCTTAAGCAGCAACATCTGCTGTGGTTCAAAGCCACACAAAGAAAGCTGTTTAAGCAGTTGAGTGTTTTGGACTGCACGGACAAGTGTGGTTCAACTGCAAAGACTGCAGAGCAAAAAATTTAAAGTTTCAAGAAGTTGTTAAAAAATGGAGTCGTGGAAGATTAGCATCTTTAAGAGACAACCATCACCGTGTCCTCCAAGCTATCGAAGATCTTTTTCAGAACCTGCTTATGCACACTCAGAGATAGGAACAAGCTTAAAGAGTTATACATGGCGTGGTCCAGTGAAAAGCAAGAGGAAGAAAAATGAACAGGCTGTTTCCAGTCTAGGAAAGCCACTGGGTGCTTATCGGTGGCAAACACACCCCAGCTTAAGGTTGAAAGGGGGCAAAAGGGAGCAATTGGAAAATAATAAAGGAGACTTGGATGAACCACAACAACAAGCGGTCCTGCCAAAGATGGTTGGGGATAATATTTCTTCCTCTGGCAACGAAGTCCTTGGAACATCAATGGAGAAGCAGAACCTGGTAAACACTCGGTCACTTCGGGTTCCATTCAGCAGATCTCTTTCAGAGCCAGAACCCCGCTCCAGTGTCAGATTTGTTAGACGGTGGCCGACTTCAGTGGGGTCAGTGGAGTCTGAGCAGCAGGGATATTTCATCCGTGGCATTTTCTCTACTCTTTCCAATGGCTTCTCCAGGATGCTGAGTCTAAAAGGAGAGTCAACCAATGAGCCAGTAAGAGAAGGTATATTGTGATGAATAAGGGGGAAGAGGGATTTTAATTATTTGTGTTTTATAATGAATAAAACATCCTATTTGCTCATTATAAAATAATTTACTTAATCAGTGCAATTTTTAAAAAGTATTAAACTCAATGAATGATAGTAATTAATAGTAAAAAATTGATTTAGAAGGAGTTTTTTTATTATGTTATACTCTAAATTCTTCATTTTGGGGCCTGTGTAAAATTATATGTTTTGTTTTGTCTTTTACCCTTTTTAATCCCATTGATCTACTTTTGTACAGTAAATGCAGTTTAGAGGGAGAAATTATCAAATCTCCTCCTGAAAAAGTTGAGAGTTAAAGGAGAATTCCTTCTATTATCTCTTCATAAAAATTGACAAATGTTATTAGAGCTATTTAGAGCTGGATTGTATTGATAGCTTTTAATAGGTAGGACTTCTGATCTGCTCATGTCTTGGTAATACACAATTTGAAAATGGAAGGAAAAGATGCAAATCTTTAATATTTAGCTTACAAAATAGAATTTTGTGTTTGCTTCATTTCAGGTAACAGAATCATCAACATTTACAATGAACTCAGGATTTGTTTCTATTTTAAAATGTTTTATATTGATGATAGTATTTTAAGCTACCAAAAGAAACCTTAAATTTTTATCTGATTGCTTTGGATGTGATTGAGCTTATCTGATGAACTACTTCAATTATGAGTTAAGACTTGTGTTTGATTTTTTTGTTTTATTTTTGAAAACCTTAACACTGATAATATTTCTGTTGAGTTGAGGTCTTGAGGTCATTTTTGGATATGGCTTTATCTTATCTTTAATTATGAGACTGACCACATCAGCAGAAGGTTGAATTCTTTCTAAAATGGTGGAAATTGTTGAATAATTTCACACTAGAATACAGTTTAATTTCTTTAAAAATAATGTCAGTGAAAAATTGAGTAATTTTCCAAGTATATCTGTGCCAAAAATTCAGTATGTCTCCTAAACCTTGTTTTCCCTTTAGATTTTCCTTTGCCCAGTGAGTTTTAATTATACTATTAAGGAACTATATTTTCTTCTTACTCTTGGTTTATAGATAATTACTGAAAGTAAAGTCTTTCTTGATGTGCCTCTATTAATATCCTGTTAAAATATTTTAGAGACTAAATTATTGCATTTCCTTGGATACTAGTATGTCTATTCCTTGCCAGTGATCATAGGATGATCTAAGTAAAGGAGCATCAAAGGGTAAGAGTTTAAGAGAAATTCTTAGAATTAATGCCTCCCAGTGGTTAACGTGCATACATTTGATAAAAGAAATCTATAGGGTTTTTGTTTTTTGAGATTTGTATTTATGATCCTTTTTGGACTTTTGTAGTTAACTTTCAGTTTTTAGCAACTTCACCAACCTGTTGGCAGCCCACTTATATATGAGATCATCTGAGAATGTTTCCTAGCTTTTTACACATTTATGGTCTACTTAAAGTGATAGAAGCATTTTATATTTTTTACTTCATAATATATTATACATTCTAATCATATAATAATTATGCAAATAGAGACATATTTGGAGTGAAACGTACTATGCTAAGGGATTTCAGGTCCTAGAAGTAAAGCACAGTACATAGTGTTCCTACCTGTCAGATCAGCAGTTTTTATTTAGCAGTTGCTATGTATGGTATTTCTTGAGTGCTTCACAGGTGGAGAGTCACGCCCTTAAAACAAAAGGATACTGTTTAATGCCAAAACTGGAGCTAATTCTTGTGTGTTGTTTAGTCCCTTATTCATGTCCCACTCTTGTGACCCCATGGACTGTAGCCTGCCAGGTTCCTCTGTCCATGGGATTTCCCAGGCAAGAATACTGGAGTGGGTTGCCATCTCCTTATCCAGGGGATCGAATCCGCTTCTCCTTCATTAGCAGGCTCGTTGCCAGATGGATTCTTTACTGCTGAGTAGAGTAAAGAATCCTGGGTAGAGATTTCTTTTTCTCTTTGGTCTATAGCTTCTACCCAGCCTAGAGTCTACCAAGTGGTTTTCTAAACTTCTGCAGTTGTGAACCTTTCTTCATTTCTCATTCTACACAGGGGAAAGAATACAGTTGGCCCAGGAGATCTGAATTCTACTTCTATCTTATGCCAGTTTGCATTTGTGAAATTTAATCTCTGAATTTCTCTTCACACTTTTGTGGATTAGTAATTTCTTTCTTACAAGTGAAATTTGAAAATATTATGTAAATTATAGTTTATATAGTATTTATTCACAAATGCTGTGTGAGTAGAACTTGTTCTTATCAGAGTTGCTGTTATTGTATTGTGGTAAGGTGTGGGATTCTTAGATATAGATCTCTTTCAGAAAATCAATATATTTTAAAATTTGAAACCCACTAGTGTTTGTTACTTTTCTTGTTCCATATGAACTGCAATATATGAGAGGCATTAAATAGTATAGCATGTATTTATAGCATTTAAAGTAGTGTTTGGCACATAGTGGTTGTTTAGTAATTAATATATATATATTTACATTGTGTTTTCACTTTTTGCAGTCAAAATGTTTTTTCCCTTTTTATTGAAGTATAGTTGATTTACTATATTCAGTATATATTTGATATTATTTCTATTAAGAAAGTGAAAATATGGTAATAGATAATAATTTTTAAAAAATAATAAAGAGAAAGAGGATACCCAGTTATTGAATTCATTATGATTACAAAATGTAAATAAATTGTAATGTTCTCTTCTTAAATTCTGTGAGCCTGAACTTTTTCTGAGCATTCGCATGTTCCGAGCATAAACAAGTAATAATTCTTTGTATCTAATAATATATCTAATAATAGGTAAATACAGTAATCTTATGCTTAAAGCAATGAAATATACCATGCATGCATGTGTACTAAGTTGCTTCAGTCATGTCTGACTCTTTCTGATGCTATGGACTGTAGCCTGCCAGGCTCCCCTGTCCATGGGATTCTCCAGGCAAGAATACTGGAGTGGGGTGTCATGCCCTCTTTCAGAGGATCTTCCTGACCAGGGAATTGAATCCGTGTCTCTTAAGTCTCCTGCATTGACAGGTGGATTCCTTACCACTAGCTCCACCTGGGAAGCCCTGAAATATACGTACTCAGGATCAATACCAAATAGAAGAGCTAAAAGCTTAAAGGTTTCACTACTGTACTATGTTTACCCCTCCAGCTCTACAATATATATTCCTTTACCTGCTACAATGTATAGATCAAATGATACAATATATAAAAAAAGTAAGACTTGTGTTTCTTACAGCTAAAAATAGTTCCAGCTCTTTTGGGCCCATGTCTAATGATGTCACCACGTTTGCGATCAGTTCAGTTCAGTCACTCAGTCGTGTCTGACTCTGTGACCCCATGAACCGCAGCGCGCCAGGCCTCCCTGTCCATCACCAACTCCCGGAGTCCACCCAAACCCATGTCCACTGAGTCGGTGATGCCATCCGACCATCTCATCCTCTGTCGTCCCCTTCTCCTCCTACCCTCAATTTTTCCCAGCATCAGGGTCTTTTCCAGTGAGTCAGCTTTGCGCATCAGGTGGCCAGAGTATTGGAGTTTCAGCTTCAATATCAGTCCTTCCAGTGAACACCCAGGACTGATCTCCTTTAGGATGGACTGGTTGGATCTCTTTGCAGTCCAAGGGACTCTCAGGAGTCTTCTCCAACACCACAGTTCAAAAGCATCAATTCTTCAGCGCTCAGCTTTCTTTATCTTGGAAGTAAATTGAAGCAACCAATAAAAGAGGATTAACTAAACAGATCAAATGAAAAAAGTACCATATAGTCTTCATAACTATTGGGCTTCCCAGGTGGCCCGGTGGTGAAGAATCTGCGCCTGTCAATGCAGGAGATGTAAGAGATGCAGGTTCTATTTCTGGGTTAGGAAGATCCTCCAGAGTAGGAAATGGAAACCGCTTCAATATTCTTGCCTGAAAAATTCCATGGACAGATTATAGTCCATGGGGTTGCAAAGAGTCGGACATGACTTAGTGACTAAACAATGGAGATTCCTTAAAAAACTAGAAATAAAACTACCATATGAATCATGAATCAGCAATCCCAGGACTGGGCAGGCTTGTGTGCACACTCTCTCTCTCTCTCACACACACACACACACACACACACACACGTGTGTGGTCAGGTAGTATTCTTCTGTGGCTTTTTCAGCTTGTAGTCAGGGTTGTCTTCTTATTGTCTTCTCACTTGTCCTTTACGCTGTGCCCAGGTGACTCTAGAGTCCCTATCTCTTTTTATAGGGACACCAGTCCTATTAGGTTAGGACCCCACATGGACAGAGGAGCTGGGTGGACTGCAGTCCATGGGGTCGTACAGAGTCGGACATGACTGAGCGACAAACACACATACCACCCTTCTGACCTCTTTTAACCTTAACTACTTTCTTAAAGGCCCACAGTCACACTGGGGCCTAGGGTTTCAACATATAAACTCTAGGGTGACATAGTTCATTCCGTATCGCCAGGAAACAAAGGTCTCACGAATAATGAGGTCAATGCAGTGTATTAGCATAAATTTCAAAATATTATATAGCATAGTCACATATATGCTCAAACTTAAAATAATTTGTTATAATGTCAAGTAACTTTAGAGAAAAATAGGCTATATCACTTTAAATTTATCTTATTTTTCTCATTTTATGTGTGTTTATTTTTGAAATGGTTATGAATGGGATAAGTTATCTTCCTCCTTTTCTTTTAAGACTATTTCATTTACATTCCCATCTGCTGACCATTAATGAAAATGTTGAGGATATTGGACACTCTGGTAATCTGTTATATTGAAATGTGGAAGAAGGCTCTACTGGACACTTCCGTTGTTTATATATATTTTCCATTACAATTTTTCCTTATGGGTACATGCCTTACCCACCTTTTCGTGGTTTGTATTATTTCTTTAAGGGTATACCAGGAATGATTATATTGTGGAATACGATTGTCTTGTAGTTCGTTATATATTGTAAGATTTTCTGCTTGAAAGCTATA